ACGAGTCCAAATAATTGTTTCTTGAATAAATCTCTTTTTAACTCTTCTAACTTTGCTCTAAAAACCCATGAAACCAAATCGGGTCAGTTTTGAACTTCATCATAATACTTTAATTCTCACTTTATCTCAAGCCAATTTGAATTGCATGTAATAGTTAAAAAAATATCAGGCTTTCCAAAATTTTGATCTAATGTCATTGCATCCATGTATCTTTTATTCAAATTCCTAGGACCACCAATGAATGAGGATGGTAAAATAATCCTCCTACCTACACTCGATCCTCTATTTTCACCATTTTGCACACTATCAACAACTCTATGATAAAGCTCACTACGTATTGCTGCCTGATTGTTATGGAAGTAATCCAATCTAGAATATTCAACTTTAACATACATATCAACTACATACTGTCGGAAAAGTCTACCAGCATGTAATAGAATAGAGTTGTCTAATGATCTTACCTGTATTTATAACAATAATACTCATGACACGAGACTTGGCATCGTTTCCGCTTTTTTTGCAAAACTGAATATGCATTAAACATCAGCAAAAAATGTAATTATAATTAAAAAATAAAGCAATCGATAATCTAAAATCTTAAAACAAACAAATAAGCTATATTCAAACCTGTCATTTCATTATTCAGCAATTCTTTTGGAGAGTTAACATAATGTGCATCAATCAACGGTTGTATACAAGAAATATCATCATGCCTGTGAAATTTTTTTTACCCTTTCAATGCCCTAATGCTAATCATGTTCACCATTAGGAAATAACAAAGGATACTGGAAAGGGTCATAAAATCCAAAATAATAATGCACTTTATGTTTGTTACCAGAATGAGCATTAATGGATATATCACGATTTTCAACATTTTCTGATATTCCATCATCTACCAAAATGGCAGCAACTTATGATGTTGTGGGATCTTTGTAAAGTCTTTGATCTATACTTAAAGTAGATATAATTTTTATATGATAACTTTGTAAATTATGAGTATTAGTTAAACTTCTAAAGAATTTTACGTAAGGATTAATGTGTAAGATGTGAACTAATTTCTCAATAATTGATTGAGATACTCCATCTGATATTTTCAATCGATTTTGTATCTCATTCTCAGTGTCATAAAAATAAAGCTGTAAACAAGAAGACTTAGAATCTATTGGAAGAAGATTATTCAGGTAATGATATATTTGTCCTTGAATTCTAAAAGTATATATTCTTTTATTCCTTCTACATAAGTCTTCATAATATTTTACTCCAAATGAAATAAATGCAAAACTACAATTGTAAGTTCGGATATAAGTCCTAAATTCAACTGATTCAATTGAGGAGGATGTAAATAAATCATACAATTCTAGAGGTACATCATTTATCTTTAATTGAACGGTTCCATCAGAACAACAAAAACGTTACTTTCTCTTTTAAATTTCTCTGCTCCACAGAAATTACAAACTGTTGAAAGAGATAACAAATAACATTGGGTTGGAATTTGTTGTAAAATGTGTACATTCGAACTACTTTCTTTTGGTGAAGAAGCAATACCTAACAAATACGCAATTTGCAATTAATTCTAATATATAAACTTCAACTTGAAAAAATCAAGTGAAAGTATAACTCACCTTTGTCAGTTTCTTCACGAATACTTATAAATCCCTCAGATTGACAAATAGGATTATCTATAACGCAAATATAAGAAAAATTTTAATTAAAGAAATATATAATTAAACAAAAGACGAAATTTATAGAATTACTGTTCTTTGTGCTTTTCTATCACGAAAAGTCACTGCTCTCATTTTCAGTCGCCTTTTTGTCGTATTTCTTGTGCTTGGGCGTATACTTCTCGTCGACTTGAATTTCGGGTTTCTTTTGTCGAAAATCCATTACACGAACAACTAAACACAATAAACAAATAACAATTTTAAGCATTATATATATACTACAGGAATTAATTGATGAAGGTAATTAAAACTTTGATTTTGATTCTTTCAAGAGTCCGCACAGCATGGAGAAAACCTCCACTATACGTAGAGTAGAGTCTCCACTTTGCGGTGTGCAAGTGCTTACCCATGGATTTAATGTGTTCTTTTCAAAACTTTTCACTTAATTCAATGTATTCAATCTATTCCACTGTCCAAATCCATTTTTAATCCTCCCAATAAGTCTGTTGAAAGAACTGCAATATGCAGTTGTTCATAGCACACAAAAAAGAATCCCAGTCAATCAGCTTATGCAGAGACACTCGGAGCATCATCTTTGCACTATGCAGAGAATTTAAGTCAATCTAATTCAATCATTTTTTGATTTGGAAAGAGAAGAAAAGAAGAAAGTTAAGGAAGAAGAAGAGTACAGGATTGGTAAATTGAGTGAAAATGGAGAAGAAATAATACGAACACATCTTGCGCTTGCAATGCCAACATCAATTGAAGAAAGAAATAATTACAGGACGATTAGTTTCAATTCGATGGATTCACACAAAAAAGTAAATGATTGCGCAACTTACATAAACCAATCCAATATGTAAGCCTGCAATTTAATCTACTTTTTGGATTTGGAAAGAGAAGAAAATAAGAAAGTTAAGGAAGAAGAAGAAACATACTACAGGAATGGTAAATAGAGTGAAAGAAAAAAAAAAAAAAATAGTACCAAAAGACCTTACGGCATCAATCAATTATGGAAATATAAAAAAAGTACAGGACGATATGTATTTGCGACACACGTCCAGGGAATGCCTTCACTCTTTTATATATGTAGAATTAGATTAATTGAAATGAAAAAGGAAAATCTATCTTCCAATATTTTTTACCTCATTCACTGGTGACTAGCAAATCGATTGCTCCCAAAGTCCTTGAGTCCT